TTCATTAAAATTATTAAAATAAAAAGAAAAAAAATGAAGAAGTACCACAGATATTGTTCAACTTACTTACATTTATGTTTCCATAGAAAGCTAAGACCGTATTTTTTAAAAAATAAATCTTAGGTTTTTTGTTTTGTTTTGTTTTTTTAAAATCTTAGGGTTTTTTTAAGTGAGGAAATATTTTGATATCTTCATTTCTAGTATTATTCTTCCCTTTAATCAGAATGTATATTCCCAGAAAAGTCTTTAAAAGTGAACTTTAAAAAAAACAACAAAAATTCATTACTTAAATGTCCTGGGATGAATAAAAAAAAATCTTATACTATACATGAAAAACTCTTTGTTTTTATAATTCTCCTTTTTAGTTATCACAGTGTGTATTTGGAGGTAGTAGAATTGTGCCAATATTTGGGATACAATAAATGACTACTTTCAAAATACTGAGGAACTGTGTAATAGCTTATCTGTGACCACCATTTTTCTATGTTTTAGCGATGATAAGTTACAACATAATAACTGGAGACACTTTGAGCAAAGTTTTTCAAAGAATCCCAGGAGGTAAGTCAAAGTAAAAGTGTGGAGAATTTACGTGTATGTGTTTGGATTTTACTTATTTTTGTTTTCAAGACTTTCCTGAAAAACACTTATACCTATAATTTCAGGCATTCAACTTAGCTAATACAGTGTGTCATGTCTTTTAACTTGCTTCTTTCCTTCTTTGTTATTAGGTGTCATTTAGTCAAATACAACTCACAGGGACCTTATGAACTACCAACCTGAACCTTGCCCTTTACTAATGACACTTCCCACATCAAAACATAGAAACATACTTTGTTTCTTTTAATGACAGTGCAGTATACTTGACATAGAATTAAACTTTCTCTTAAAAATTGAATATTAAATTTTATTTGTAGTTCTACAAATGGTATATAGGTATAGATACTCCTCATTAAAATGAAAATATCATAGGTAAAGAAATTTCCCCTTGAGACTTGCCTCCTGCTTATTAATTTTATAATAAAAAAGTTAAAACACGAAGTTACATAAACATAACTTTGTCCTTACCAGTTTTTTCTTCCCTGCTGATGATAATACTGTATAATGTACACTTCACTTTTATATCTTGTGCAGTATAGAGCCAGAGTTTTTTAGCAGTAAATAAAACGTTAGCAAAGCTCTTTTTTCCTCTCTGAAATTTATTGCTTATTTCTTAGGCTGACAGTTGGGAAATTGCTCCAACTTTTCCCAGAAAACCAAAATCGGTTATTTTTAAAAGAAAAAAAAGAAAAGAAAATGGTGTAACCAGTAGGGCGTTTGGTCAATTTAGAAGCTTTTTATTTTTCCAACATAGCCTATTTTCTTTATGATGTTTTAAACAATGGTTATTCAAGTTCATTTTTGTTTGAACATCAGTTTAGATAATATCTTTTTAAAAAAATCAAACCCCTTGCTGTTAAGTTGATGATTCTTATTCATGGCTACCTTTAATCATCCAAAGTAAAATGTGGTCATAGTTTTCTTTATTATAAATTTTGACACATCTGGTTAGAGTTAAGCTGCCAAACTTTAGCAAAACTACTTCTGCCATACATATATGATCTTTGGATTTTTAGTGAAAAAATCTCCCTTTTATGCTATCGAGATCCTGTTATTAGTCTGCTATGTGCTGTTGTTGTTATTGTTATGTTGTCGAGTCCCTTGCAACTCATAGAGACCCTATGAGCCCCAACCCCTGCTCTATCCTGTGCCAACCTTACTGTCTCTGACACATCTAATCCTATTACCTCAATCACTGAATCGAACCATCTCATTGAGGGTCTTCCTCTCCTGCACTGTCCCTCCACTCTCCCAAACATGATGTCCCTCTCCAAGGACTGGTCCCTCCTTGCAATATGCCCAAAGTATGTTAGACAAAGCTTCAGAATTCCTGCCTCCAAAGAACAACCTGGTTTCATCCTCTCCAGAACAAACCTGCTCATTCTCTTAGCAGTCCATGGTATATTCAACATTCTTCTCCAACACCACAGATCAAAGGCATCAATTCTCTTTCTATAATCTCTAGTCACTGTCCAGCTCTCTGACACATAACATGCAATTGCAAAGACTATGGCCTGGATCAGGCACACCTTAGTCTCCAGCTCGACGACATTGCTCTTCAGTACTCTGGAGAGGTCCCTGGCAGCTGACTTTCCCAGTGAAATTAATTTCTTGGTTTTCTGGATGCTGGTACCAAGAGTGTTGACTGTGGAGCCAAGCTAAAACTGTTAACAATCTCAATATCTTCACCATCCATAATGATGCTGCCAATTGGCCCAGTGGTGAGAATCTTTGTTTTCTTGATATTGAGCTTCAATCCATATTGAAGGCTGCAATCTTTGACCTTCTGCAGCAAGAGTTTCTGGTATTCCTCAGTTTAAGCAATTAAGGTTGTGTCATCGGCATAATGCAGGTTATTGATGAATCTTCCACCAATCCTGATGCCACATTCATCCTCATACAGCCCAGAGTCCCAGATGATCTGTTCTGCACACAGATTGAAAAGATATGGAGACAGAATACATCCGTGGCTGACCCCCTTTCCTATTTTGAACCACACAGTGTCTCCTTGCTTTGTTCTGATGACTGCCTCTTGGTCCAAGTATAGGTTTTGCATAAGCATAATCAAATGTTCTGGGATTCCCATTCTTCTCAGAGTCAACCACAGTTTGTTGTGTTCCACACAGTCAAAAGCCTTTGCACAGTTAATGAAACACAGATAGACAATTCCTCTGGAATTCTCTGCTTTCTGCCAACATCCATCTAACATTAGCTATAATATCCCTAGTACCATGACCTCTTCTAAACCCAGCCTGCATATGAGGCAGTTCTCTGTTGACATGTTGCTCCAGTCATTTTTGGATCATTTTCAGCAGAATCTTGTTTGCATGTGATATTAATGATATTGTTCAATAATTTCCGCACTCTGTTGGGTCAACCTTCATTTGAATGGGAACAAATATCTATCTCTTCCATTCAGATGGCCAGCTGGCCGTCCTCCAGATTTCTTGGTACAACTTACTGAGTACATCCAGGGCAGTATCTTTTTGTTGAAATATGCCTATGTACTAACTGATCATATTCTATCGATTCCAGGGGCCTTATTTTTTGCCAAAGCCTACAGTGCAGCTTGAACTTCATCCTTCATTACTATTGGCTCTTGTGAATATGGTACTTCCTGAAATTTTTCACTGTCAATGAATTCTTTTCAGTACAGTAATTCTGTATTCCTTCCATCTTCCTTTGGTGCTTCCTGGATCATTCAAGATTTTGACCATATCATTTTTCAGCATTACAATTTGAGGCTTGAATTTGTTTTCCAGTTCTTTCAGCTTGAGGAATGCTGAGCAAATTCTTCTCTTTTTATTCTCTCATTCCAACGTATCTTAAAATGCTTGCTGCAGAAGATCAAGAACTTTTTGACCCAAGTATGGATTACATCGCAACATCAAGAAAATAAAGATCCTCACCACAGAAACAACAAATAACCTCATGATAGATGGATAAAGGATTAAAGCTGTCAGTCATTTTATATTCCTTGGAATAACAATCAACACCCTTGGCACTAGCAGTTAGGAGATCAGAATATGTGTTTCATTGAACAAGTGTGCTGTTAGGGACCTCTCCAAAATCCTGAAAAGCAGTGATGTCAGCTTGAAGACTAAGGTGCAGTTCATTCAGGCCATGGTCTTTTCAGTCATCTGCTCCACATCTCAGAGCTATACAATGAATAAAGATTACGGAAGAAAATTGATGCCTTTAGGTTGTGGTATTGGAAAAGGGTACTGTGTAATCCCATCAATTCTCAAGAGAATGAACAGATACGTCTTGGGAAAAGTACAGTCTGAGTGCTCCTTCGAAGCAAAGATGCTGAAGCTCCTTCTTTCATACTTTGGACATGCTGCTCAGAAAGGCTATTCCTTGCAAAGGGACATCATACTTGGAAAAATGGAGGGCCAACAAAAGAAAGGAAGACCCTCAGTGAAATGTAATGACACAGTGACTGCAGCAATGGGCTCAAGTGTATCAGAGATGATGAGGATGGCACAGGATAGGACAAGGTTCAGGTCTGTTCAGAGGGTTGCCATGAGGCATACTCCAGTCAAAAGCGCCTAATAACCTATTAAGAGAGCTCTGATCGCCTAGTTTTAAGAAGCTGTGCTACAATCCCAAAGGCATACTGTTGGTATCTACCAGTTGTCCTAATGGAGAAGAAGGGACAGTCTCCTCCAGTGCAATTTATTGCCTCCGAAAATCTATTAGAGGGTCAGCGGTGGGTCCGTTATGACTACAACACAGAACAAGAACATATACTAATTAAGGAGCTGTGGTGACATAGTGTGTAACCTGAAGGCTAGCAGTACAAATTCACCAGCTGCTTCTCAGAAGAAAGATGGACAATCTCCTCCTGTAAGATTTGAAATGCTATAAACCTGACAGAGGGTGGCTGTGAGCTGAAAGGTCTAGATGGCAGTGGATATATCCTAATCACAGCACCTGTTTTAGTATTTTTCTAAACCTGAAAATTTTCCTAGTAAGAAAAATATTTTTTCTACCAAGCAAATCTATAAAGGGAAAGACTTGACAAGTAAACATAAATAATTTCATTCAAATTTTACATACCATGAAATTAAATAATTGAGTAGATGTCCTGTTTCATTGCTCTAATCCACAACTTCATGTTTACTGTTTACTTATGGCTGAGGTAAACTATTACCATGGATTAACACCCTTCTTTATGTATTTTATACCAGTGATTTAAATATGTATATAATTTATGCCATTTTGAAATTTTCTGTCATGCAACTTTCTTGTAAATTAGTGCATGAGCTGTATAAGAAAACCAGTTTTAGTATTCAAGGAAAAACTTCCTTTTTACAAAAAAATAACAACCTGCAATTACTCATTTACTCAACTGACTTTACAGAATTAATGCACAAATAATAATAGCACTGAGATAATACTTTAAAAAATTGTATCTGAAAATAAATCAATTCATTAAATTAATAATGTCCTCATTGGATGAGCTATAAAGCTCCTTAAGTGAATATTTTGATGCAGGAGTGGCATCCACTTCTGAAAAAGCTTGCCTCCAGAAACCCTATGAACCTGGAGAAAGGATGAAAGTTATGCAAGTGTTCAGGTCTTTTCTTCATAGGCTTGCTATGAGTCACCTATGACTTGATGGCACTTAACAACAACACCTCTTACAATATACAAATCCATGGAAATATGTTCTACTTTATGGTTACAACTTCTGTTTGTACTTTCTATTGCAAAACATAGATTTTAAATTGTATGACCTCATGATTTGATGGGAGGGGATGAGGGAAATGGGAAGCACCTGCTGTGAAAAAAGTATATTAATTTATAAATAAACTAGTAAAAAAAAAGTAAAATATAAACATTCTTGCCTTCAAGAATTTCACCCTTTCCAGGACAGATCTGTTTGTTCTCTTGGCAGTCCATGGTATGTTCA